TTCCATATCTTAATTTAGTAGAGATTGGCACCGAGCATGTGGTGCGCGAAACCAATTTTTATTTCCCACATCACACTTTTGTAAGATACAATCGTTTCCATACGCATTTGTACGAAGACGTACTCAGTCGTCACAATTGTTGGTGAGCGCAGGAACATTCGATGAGGGTGTAGTAAAAGTTTGAGAACCCAAGTATCTATCCACTTCAAATTGTCGGTGGCTTTGTTGCGGTGTGTGACCAGCCTCGCGTGAAGTCATTCCTTTCTCCAAGCTGCCGTATAAGTTTCCAGTACCCGAGAGCTTAAATATAAAACAGCTCACCCGAAAAGACGAAACTTTGAAGCATGGCGAGAAGCTTTATAGACTATCCCTCAGCCGCCACATCCCATTTTTCCAAACTTTTTGACCCAAAAAAAACGGCGCCAAGGCTGCATTCGGCCAAGATTCCCCGTAAGTCTTCCATGGTTGTGTCCATGAGTGTTGTTCACCGGAGTGATCGCCTAAAACGGTAAGATAAATGGAATCCTTTTTAATCGCTTCCCGCTTATGTTTATGGTAATCCATCGTTGTTCTGATAATGCGCCGTATATCTCTATCGTCCACTGGAGTCATTGATAATTGTACCAGGGCGTGAGAAGAAGCGCAAGTTGAGAGGTAGTTTTGGAACTATTGCCGTCATGATGCTGCTTAGAGCAAGAAGTGGTACTTCGATGTGAGAATTGTGACGAGTTCTCGCCCATAGGTACGGGTGAGTCTCGCTTTGGCTCCGGTTGATTTGCCATGACGCTAGTAAAAATGACGACGTCCGCATAACTGACAAAAATGGAGTATTATATCTCTGAGCTGGTCATTGATGGTCCAAAGAGTTTTCTAAGTGTGCAACTAAGCATAATAATGCTCACCCCAGTACCGAAGAACTAAAGAAGGCTGTTTGTTTTTCTGATTCGACAAGCGGACAGAATTTATACATTCCTCCATGTCCAGAGGCAATTGCTGACCCGTATCGTAACTCTTGGTGCCTCTCGTGGTCGTCCTGGAGCGATAAGGGATAGTTTCCGTTAATTTGGCTACTCTCATTATGAGCAAGTACAACTAATTTGAGCTGTAAAGGGTTGGCAGCGGTAGATATAAACTAGCAGCAGTCTCATCCGAAGGGCCCTACCATGGCCTGTCGAGATGAAAGTGTGGCTGAATTGTCTATCTGATAACTTTTTAAACTTCTTAATGGAACTGCGACGACCCATGCCCTCTCAACCACGCTATACATAAATTAAGTGGTTGTGCGGATAAATTTTTTTAAACAGTTCCCAATATTAAATTGCCATGTCCGCTTGATATCTCGCTTCATGCAAGCTGTTATAGCCTCCAATTTCGCTGCATGGACGCTAGGTCGTGGTCCGCCATCGCCTGTGCTAAAGCTATAGCAAACCATAACTAGAACATGGCGTTTTAAATGGTCGAAAACTCAAATCTGAACAAATCTACGATAAAGGCTTTGTCTGTCCGACGTCCGTGCATGCCATTGCCAGTGGTAGACATCGGAGGTCAAGCATGCCTTCGACGTGTTGTCCAGCGCCGGTCGTTCTCGCTTTCTGATCCTGACCATTTGTGGGATTGTAGGGCCACGGATAGTTTTTCCTTGACCAAATGCAACTGTGCCTTATTAGCCGCCGTGATCGAGAGCGTTTGTTGTACAAACAAATTATACGCAGATAAAATCTCCGACACCTGTGAAGCAGGAGGGACGACGTCCAAACATCTGGAGTCCTTATCATCGTATACATCAGAATATTTCTCAAGGTGAGCAAAGCGAGATGGTGTACTTATTAAGGTGAGTCAGATGTTTGACTAAGTACACTCCGCCGGTCACTGCGTTGAATAAGGTCAGTGATCCATCGCTTTTACAATTTTGGTTGGACTGTTGGTCCAATTGATGGCGACTGAGCACTGTCCGCCGGTAATGATGATCAAGAGTCGGACCGACCTGATCAGTAGCCGAGAACGATGGTGTCAAATATTTATGCGCCTTCTTGTTATGTTCGTCGTGTAAATGAAAATGAAGGCCGCAATTTGGTGAGTCTCGTCAAGGGTGACAAATGGTAATGCCAAATATTAAGACTGGCTACGTCCTACTCCGTATCCACCCAGACACCTTGCCCTCGCAATTGGGAATAAAAATATTGACATCTCGCCATTATGTGGTCTATATTGATACCGTGCAAGCATTAATGTCGATTTCCGACATTAGGATGTCGGAGTACAATCGTGCGTCCTTACCGAAAAATACGGACGATTCCACGAAAAATTCAGGGAACTAATTATATTCACGGTTAGTCTCCAGACTGTAGAGATGCGCGAGCGAGGTGAACAGATGTCCATATTTTCAAGTTTATATTTCACTGTAAGCTGTACCTGCAAGTACACGGTTAAACGACCAATATCCGACTAGCGGGTAACATTGTACATTGCAATACTGTTCTCGCTTGAAGGACATTCTGGTGCCGTCAGTGATAACTGTCTAGACCAGGTATAGCCTTGGGCGGTTGATGCATATTGGAGACGCGATAAACTATTCCGGTAAAAGGCACCGTAACCAATGCGTACTTGCTGACCATCGACCGGTCAAAAAAGAAGTAATGAAATTGGCGGTAAATGGGATCAAAAGTTATGGTATCTACTACACTTCGGTGACTCCGGAACACTTCTTCATTGACCCTGAGTGCCTTAGCCGCCAATAGAATGTCTCCTTATATCGCGCTTTCGATCTATCGACAAACTCTATATTTGTCCCACTGCATAGCTGTAGCACTTTCTCCTCATCCACTTGTGCTAAAATCGTACGAGAAGCCGTACAAGCTCCTTTTAATCTATCACACTCTTTTCACTTGAGGTAGAAGCCGGCACACGATGCACACCTCAGCTAGTCCACTACTGATCTTCCATTCATCCTTGGTTCCGGCCCGAAGTCGATGCTTGCTTCACGCAACCGCTAGTTGCAAACAGATCGCTCGTAATGTATCAATGTCCCCCTGTCTATACACCGCAGGGCTGAACATGGACTCATAATACCTCGCCTGATGAGTGGTTCGTCTTCTAAACACTCTCTAAGACTTAAGAGTAGCCTCGTGTCCGGCCACTGGTTAAGTGGTATAAGTTTTGCCTATTTTAATTTACTAATCAAGTTTTGAAGGTTATTCGTATAACCCAGCTATTATTGAACAAATACGGGTCACTTATGACGTGTATCGTTCCCAATCAGTATTTGAGCCTTCTCCGACAGTGCACGTTTCTTAGGATCTTGATTAGAAGCGCCGGCTCCTCGTTGCGTAGATTGAGATAGATTCTCTTTTCAGGTGAGAGAAGCTTCGCATATGCGGCAATAGAGTCTAGGCGATCGCATTCAGTGACGCTATCGTTGATGTTGATAATTGCATTATTTCTGAGTCGGTTAGTCGTTTCATGTTAGGTACGTACGTGCATGAAAGGCGTGCTGAGGTGGTTGAATTAACGGCTAGCGACTTAAGGCCTGTCGTGGTTTAGCTTCGGTCAGCTTCGGCTGCAGGAAACCGCTTGGGTGAACATAAGCGGTAAAATGTCAAGGCAGAAAACATTAGAGCAAGAGATATTGACATGACATTTTTTTTATTATCACAGTACCACAGACTTCCTCTCTGACACTAGCACATTTGCTAGCGAACAGTTGAGGTCCAAGATTTCCGTGGAGATGCATGTAGTTCGGCAGTTCGATCTGCCACGACTGCGTCGAATGTTTACCGGGGTTAAATCTTGTCCAGCAGTTGTCCCTGCGGTGCTCCCTGACCCTCTCTGCCGTTGTATCCGTGACCTGTTGTCGGATCATTTTCAGATGGCGGGATTGTCCCACCTGCTGCTGCTGGTCCGGTTGACGCGAATGTGGGCCTTGCAGTATTCCTCTCCGCGTCTGCGAAAGGTGTAGACTGCTCGGCTACCTTGGAGTTCGGCTGTTTTCGAGAAGGTTTCGCAAGAGCCTTCTCGCTTTCGTCTCGTGGCTTCTTCTGCACCTCTAATTCAAGATCCGGCGGTTTAGGATCCATATCGGACGGCTATCTCGCAGATAAAAAGCCGGACCGCGCATGATTCCAGACAATTGACGCGTAGCCTTATGAGCTAAGTCTCCAAAGTGCAGCAGTTAGGGTGAACTTGAATACTCCCGAACCTATCAGCATGTACTAGGCCGTAAGGGCTATGCTAAGCGCAATGCAATTAAAAGTAAGAAAAGCTTTAATACTTTTGACTCAGTATAGTGTTTGCTCTGTCATTGGATATATTGTTATTAACGCAACTTCAATTGGTTGTCCTACATTGTCATAAAAAGATTTTGTGCTGGTGTAATTGTCGTAAGATCACATTCATATAAATTACTATTTAAATATATACAATCATCGAAATAGCTATAAATTGAGATCCGGAGTTTGTGTGCAATATTTCTCGGTGTCTGTTGACCGTTTGTAATGTACCGAAATATTGTTATATCTATGCTGATACCGCTTTCATTTCACTTAACCTTCGACATGTTTTTATATACCCCAAATGGCGGCAACACGGGTGTTGCGACTTCGGCTAATTTCGAAAGGCTCACGCTTTGAATCCGACAGGTTATATTGCGAAGGGTCATAGCCTTAATGACATTACATACAACTTATGCCGAATTTTCTACTACTTCTTTAATTCTCTAATCAGAAACCGCCGCATTCTCCATATTCGAGCGATTTCAGCAAGCTTGCGGTGCTACCGTCATCGCTACCTTCTTGGTTGTCTTTTTGAATGCAATATGCCTCTCGTCATAGGCGAAGCGAATCCTATGGGCATTGTTGTCGACGCTTTAACTACAGTACGAGTCTACAATTTCAAAAAAGGGGACTTTTGCAGGCCTAATAAAGATGCTCATTTCCATAATATAAATACATTAATCAATTTTTTGGAAATAATTCTAGCTCGATTATTGATATCCACAACGTGGTTTATTTATGCGCCATGCGCTGTGTCAACGTGTCAAAAACACCTCGCTGCTTTTCTAAAAAATGCCTTTTAGCGAGAGGTGCATTAAGTACGTGCGTTTTGGATTTATTTCCCACTTAGAAATGAGAAATCAAATTTGACCGACGACGTGAGTGCAATCAAAGTCGCCCGACCACTGCAGAACGCACGCAAACAATCAAATCGACCGCCCTGCAAGATGCCCTATACCTCGTCAAAAAAACGTATTCACATTGTGCTTGTCAATGAGGGCGCGCATCTCTTCGTCTTCGTCGTAGGATATGCGAATCAGCCTGTGGTTTAACTCGACATCGATAATCTACTCCCCCATCCATGATTTCGCAAGATGATCACGGTGCGGCGCCAGAATGCATTTGACAAACATTCGCAGCGACAGCTTGATGGGATGGGCAGGTATACCGGCAGTGCATCGTGCGCGAGAGGAAGATTGTTGACGTCGCGCTCTGCTCGCACGCTCTGCAGCCCGAGCATCAGGGTCATCGCGTATGTAGCGACCTCGCTTACGGCGTCTAGCTTCTCGTCGTCGCTCAGCGCCGCCAATCGCTGCATTACCCTCGAGGCCTGATCCTCGATAAGAGCGACTATGTCCGCATAGTCGATCCTAGTGCCACCATCAACAAAATAGCCGTTTATTGGCCCATCGGTCGAGTCAATGCTGAACATAACGACAAGCGATCCAATTTAATTGAAAACGTGTTCGTCTTGCTGCGCTATCAGGAGCGCCTTGTTCTGCAGTACTACAATTGTCTTGCTGACAGTACAAATTGCAGAAGACACAGCGTACGTCGTGATCCACCAGAACGGCGACGGCTGGTTGGACTTTTAATAATCAGCCGCGTAGTTGACCAGTCTTCGCCGGTATGTAAAGAAATCGAAGCATAAATCCATACCGGACCCAGCGAGTAATCATCTTCAGGCACCTAAGATTCATCTCGGCAATTAAGCTGTTTTGAGCACTCATGAAGACGCTACACGCGTGCGCTTTGGCGACCCATTTGCCTTAGGACACATTGGCGGAAGATTGATTTATTTCCATATCAATTGATGAGGCGAGCACTAAATGCGAAGGACAGGATGCTCAGCTGCAGCGCACAATCGAGTGACCAAGCCAGCATACCGGCCAACCATTGCGATCTCGCCGTCCGAAGCGACGCAAAGCGATCTGTCACTACACGATCCGTACAATACGTCCATAATCTTGCAGATCAATTTATATATATGATCTGCGATGCATGCCTGTCGAACATTGGGATGGCAACGAAGTGAAAGTTGACTAGGACGTCATTGTAGCAATCGCAAACGCATGCCAAAGAACGACAAGTTGCGATGCGTAATTCCATCACACGCGAACGAATATGGCCAGACGGACGTGTCGCATATAGAATCCGCAATTTGTTGCAAGTTTTACGCGGCAAGGGCGCTAATAAATTGGCCGAACATCAAAATATTTATGCCTGCGAGCCTCGGCTTTTGCGTATGTCGCTAAGCATGTTCGATTATCATAGCCGCCTGCCAGAATAAATTGCCGAAGCCTCGTGGCCCAATGCGACTTCGTAACGCATCACATATCGATAGTGATAACGTTCGTCTCATCCTCCGAGTCCTTATTAACAGCTTCATCACAGGCGCCTTTTCGCTGGACTTCTTGGCGATTTCCTTGCCTACTGCCTTTGTCGCGTCAGACGCCACGAAGTCGTCTTCGTCGTCGTCTTTGTCATTGTCCAGCATTTCATCGTTCCTGAAGAACATGTCTCCGACGATGGTCTCGACAATTGGTTGCGAAATTTGAATTCCATAGTGTCGCCTACAACGTCGAGGTAATGATGATACGTGTTCACGATCTTCGTCTTCTCAGTAGAGTATTCGCGCTTCTACACGTTTCACATATTGATTTACTTTGCCCAGGCATTGTCATGCTGCGTCGTATTGCGACTGCAAAATTTCTGGGGAGCGCATGGCTTCGTGTAGTATTTGATTTCAACGCGCGATTCTCGCTTGCGACCAGTTCAGTTTCCAACCTCAACCTTGTCACGCCTGCGATAGATGCAGCACAGGCATCTCACAGTTTGCGCGCCGCCCTTTCCCGTCTTGATGAGCTAGAGTCCGAACTCTAGCGCATGTTTCTCCTGAATCGGCGTCGTCTTCGGTGTCATTAGAGCACTTGGATGCGCAAAAGCACGATTTTGCGTAGTTTTACAGCTATTTGTTAAGGTCTTGGTTTATGGACCAGAAAAGTCTTAGTGTATGGATCGGTAAAATCTTAGTGTATGGATCAGAAAAATCTTAGTTTATGGATATCCGACCCTATTTTAGATTTTCAACAATTTATCATGTCCAAGCCATTGCTTTGCTACATCACAAAGACGTAAGTAGAGGACTATGAAACCACGAAAAGAAAATGCTTATTAGTAGGATCAAAATCTGGTATTTATATCATTAGGTCCTAATGCGTCAAATCAATTGGCCCTTTTATAGCTCTACTATATACAATCATTAATGGTGACGTACATTTGGACCATCCAGACGAGGTAAACGTTGACACCTGCAAGTGCCGACTTCCCCGCCGATACGGCGACAATCAAGATCAAGAAGTTTGCAGGAGGATCCCCACGTGAGTGGCTTCGCTGGAGCAACCAATTTCGTCGCCTCGCCCGAAAGAAGCAATGGACCGATGAGCTATAGGCACACAACATGGTCGCGCTTATTGAAGGCGACCTCGCAACAGAAGTCGAAGTGATAGCTCAAGACGCAGTTGAGCACGGAGGGACTTTTGAACAAGTCTTTACGGATACGGGATTTCTATCTGTCCCGCACGACTACAGTGAAGACTTGGACAACGAATTGTGGACAATGGTGAAACGACGAGATGGGACTGTGCTCAAATTCTCGCAGCGACTCAGAGAAGACATTCGGTTGTTTGCTGAGCTGCCACAGAATGCTGAAGAAATTTCGGAGGTTCAGCAATGTCGCTACTTCAAGCGCGGAATGCCCCGATCATGGCAAGAGAAGTTGTCTGCAGTAGGAGTCGTATTCGACCACCTCAATGAACTTGTCCCTTGTTTCACCCGGATCGAAAAAGACGAGCGACATCCGATAACCCGTGACAAGAAACCAAACACTAAAGAATACAGCAACATGCAGAGAAAGAATCAGCGCAGAGTACACGGGCAACGGGAAGTACAGAAGAACCGGCGAGAAGAGCCTAAGGAATAGGCACGCAGTCGAGGAGACAGTAATCACACACGTGACACTTGGTTTTCGTTCCACAAGACAGCTTCGCACAATACGAATGACTGTTATACTTTGAAGAAAAAGCAATTGGAGGATACCAGGAAAAACGAAGCACGGTCGCACAAACATCGCACACTGAACCCGAAGTACCCCCGCATCTCAAGAAGAGATAACCTTGACTTCGAATCGGAGTCAGAATCGGATGCGGCAGGGCAAGAGCAAGAGCTCAAGTTCGTTGGTTCAGTCGAAAAGGACAGAATTGTCACCATTGCACCATTACGCATCATGGTCTAGCTGCATCGCAATCAAGATGCTATCGAATCTCTGCTCGACAGTGGAGCATTAAAAGCATTGTCAATGGTGCGACACTTGCTGGTATTGTGAAGCTGGGTCGACAGAATGTTACGACATCACCCACTATCTTTGACACTATGCGCGGCGCAGTACCAAGCAATGGAACGGTGAAGACACAATTCTTCTTCCCACAACTAAAGCCAGACACAATCGTCACATACCAATTTGAAGTGATTAAATTAAGCAGCGATAACATGGTTATTGGAAGAGATGTCATAAATGCACTAGGACTGGTTTTAAACTTCAAAGTTAGGTTGGTGCAATGGGACGACTGCTTGCTCCGGCTTAAGACAGGGCAAGAGAAAGCGAAAAGACCCAAGGTGGGCAAAGAAGACCTCGAGGTTCAAGACGAAATGAAGGAAACACCCACAACAGTAGTCCAGCCAGAGACTTTCCTGCCTCATCATCTTGACCCCAACATGAAGACTAAATGCTTGGCATTAGTAGTCGAGTACAAAAGGCTTTACGACGCACATCTTGGACGAATGCGCTTTCCGGATTACGAGCTGCCTATCAAACCGGATTACAAGCCCGTTCATGCAAAGGCCTACCCCATCGCGCGCAGCCAGTAAAGCAAAGCCAAGGAGAACATTCAGCGGGTTATCAGTGCTGACGTTCTAGAGCAAATTTTTGATGCGGAGATGGCATCACCCGCGTTTTCGTCTCCAAGCCAGATGGTTCACTGCGTCTGCTTAACGACTATCGTGGGCTTAACAAGTATCTACGAAGGAGCCCATACTTCGTCCCGCGCATTAGAGAAATCATTATGCGCTTGTCCAGCGCAAGGTGTCTTTCAACGTTAGACGCAAACCATGGATATTATGCCCGACGACTAGCTCGAACAAGCCGCCCATTGACAGCTTTTTATTTGCCATTCGGCAAATACCAGTACAAGCGACTACCGATGGGTATATAACAGCCCCAGACGAATACCAAGCGTGAATGGATTGTATCTTTGGTGACCTGCCGTTCATCGTGGTGTATCGGGATATCCTGCTAGTATTTTCCAGTACAGACGAAGACCATCTCTCTCATTTGCGCATCCTCTTTGAACTACTGCAGACCATCGGCGTTTCGCTAAATGGAAGAAAGTGCCATATTTGGTGCAAGGAGGTTGATTACCTTAAGTTTACGCTATCGGCCGATGGAATGAAGCCTCAAGAAAAGAAAACCCAGGCCATTCAGAAGATCGCAGTGCCACGCAACCCAAAAGAGCTTCGACGTTTCTTAGGCATGATCAACTACTACCGCGACATGATTTCGAACAAGACAACCGTATGCAAGCCGCTATATCGGTTTACAAGCGCCAAGGTACCCTTTACATGGCTACCTAGCGATACGAAGGCCTTTCACGACAATAAGCGTGCTTTTGCAGAGGCCGTCCTTTTAGCGTTCCCTAACTCAAAGGTACCGTTCCATGTCTACGCGAATGCTAGTGGAACTCAGATTGGTGGACTGATAATGCAAGGCAACAAAATTCTGGCATGTTACTCGCGAATCTCACCAAGCACCAGATCAATTCTACCACCATGGAGCTGGAGCATCTTTCGATCGTTGAGCTGTTACGCGAATACCGAACGATGCTCCTCGGATTTCGCGTCGTGGTCCATACGGATCACAAAAACTTGATCTACCCCAATGAGAAAAGTCTCCGAGTGAAGCGATGGAAGTTACTCCTCTCTAAGTATCGCCTGAAAATGACCTATATTAAAAGGGAGAAGAACATTGGCGCAGATGCTTTCTCACGCATGCGATTTGCGACCAGTAAAGTTTCATCAATTAGCGACGAAGTCTACACGCTCAATACGACACCAGAGTGCGTAATGCATGGTCCAATGCTCTACCAGCACCAAGAGAACGATGAAATGATCGCATCGATCAAAGCAGCATGTCTAGCCGGTACCAATAACCCAGACTATCAGCTCCAGGTTCTCTTGGGATGTACCATGGTTGGTTACAAACACCGAGTAATCGTCCCTGACAGTCTTCGTGATTACCTGATCGACTGGTACCACATAAATCTCGGCCATCCAGCAAGTCATCGACAACATAAAACGATGCAAAGTACCTTCTACTGGCCGCACATGGAAACAACGATCGACAAGTTTGTTCACAAATGCATCAAGTGCAAGCGCTCGAAATTAAACGGAGGGAAACAAGCCTACAGACTTAGACTACCACGGACCAATAGAACCGTCAACCCATTCAGTATTGTACACGTTGATCTTATCGGACCATACGACGGCGGCTATTACGGGATAACTATGATTGATCAAGCTACTCGGTGGCTGGAAGTTGCTGTACAGCCAAATAAAGCATCGCTGACGACGGCTGAAAGTTTTGATCGTGAGTGGCTTTGCCGCTATTTGCGTCCACGACAAGTTGTCCATGACCAAGGGTTGGAGTTTACAGGAGAAGAATTCCAGGAACTACTGCGCAGTTACGGCCTGAAATCAAAGCTAATCACAGCAGATAATCCGCCAGCGAATGCGATCTGTGAGCGTGTGCATCTGGAGCTATTGAACGTCATCCGTTGTCACACAGGCGCAGATTGGAAGAATGTCATTCATTACGCCGCTTTTGCAGTGCGTTCGAGATATCATAGCATACTCAATGCACCTCCGGGAAAAATCATTTTTGGACAAGACATGATTACACGCCAGCTGCACGAAGCAAATTGGAGTTGCCTGTCAAAACGGCGGTTTCGGGCTATCCTAGCTTACAACACACGCGAAAATACCAAACGGCTCGTGCACTTTTACCATCCCGGCGACCACATAATGACATGAAGATCTAAACAGTTTTGCGCAAAGACTAAGGATTTTCAGATGAGCCCTACCCCATTAGCATTGTGCATAAAAATGGAACCATCACAATTGACAAGGTCGCGACGACGCAACGGCTATCACTTCGTCGCATCTTCCTGTGCTAGTGTGATTGTTTCATGGGGGGAGTATGACATAACTGCCTCCTACACTAATTAATGATGGATGGAACCTACTCCACGACCAACCTACAACTAAGCGAAGAACAATCGGATGGATTGATTGATGGATAGATGGATGGATGGATGAAATTAGATGAAGCATTCAGGTAGGCACGGTTGGCTAACATGTTTTTGAATGCACTCTCAATTTTACCTTTGACTCCGCAGGACCCTCTCAAGCAAGGCTCGCGGACCGATCACCCCTCTGCAAGCCACGGGTGTGTCATTAAACGAACATAGACGGGTTTGGGTGCGTATGTGACATATACTGAGCAGTGTTGCTATAACAAGCCTCTGGACTCAAAGAAAACGAGCAACATTTCATCTAAAGGCCGTTTCTCTGGAATGCCGCGTCTCCGACTTCTGGTATTCCGGCTCGATGCAGCTTCGAGCGGTTTCCAAGCGACGGTATGGACAAACTGACAACAAAATACTAGGAGCATGCCTACTGTAATGCCCCGGCGAAATAGTAAGGCAACCACGATAGCCGTCACCTCAGGTGACAAGCTTCGAACAACCACCGACCTCGTCTGAGGAACCGGCGTTGCTATCCAGGCATAGGAAGTATCACACATCATGCAATGCTTATAAGATTAAATGGATTCGTCTGTGTAACGGGGCAGCCCGTTACATGGTATATTGTCATTAAAGAGATAAGTGACAATAAAGAATATGAAGTTGAATATTCTTTTAACAATACCACCAATAATGGTGATATTGAAGGGTCGACCAAAGAGTCTCTGTTCATTGGTTGATATCTTGATGATATCAACCCACCAATCGCCGCAAGACGCGCGCAATGAGTGGTGACGAGACGTCACCATACACTCAGTTATATTATCATAATCAAGTTAAGTCAAACAGAGAGACAGTAGTTTAAGGACTTAATTATATTAATATAACAGTTCTACTTTTACCTTACCTACGCTTCCTCGCTTCCCTTGTGTACGTCTGTCGGGGCACCGATACCCTTGCGTTAAGTTCACGCAAGGGTGTGCCCCGTTACAGTCTGCCCCCCTCCATCATCAATGGTGACGTCAGCTCACCACCCATTGCGCGCGTCAAAAAGCGACTGGTGAATTGGTACGATGGACCAAATGGATCGATGAGTAGACCCTTGAGACACTGCAAAATAATTCTGTACATAACGATGATGCTGAAAGAATATTCACCATAGTATATTTACTTTGTTGCCATATCTTACAAATACCAATGTTATGCAACAGGATCGCCTCGTTATGGCAAAATAAAAAGATAGAACCCTCATGACATATTCGATGAGTCACGACTAGCGAAGCTTTACCAGCTTTCATCGATGACTGTGCCCATGTTGTAGATAACCGATATTATGAAATCAACCATGTCAATTGTAACTTTTGGCTGCTACCCTGCGTTTTCAAATCATAGCTTTACCAACTGTGAAGGTATTCGAAACATTGATGGAATGATAACAGTATGATTGGAATCGATGTAGAGCCACATCTTGGACAATGGCTCATTGGTGCTCACGCGTAGCCAATGGTGGTAGTCTAGCCCCAATCAATACCCAACCGATGGCAGCGGTGGTATGCGATGTGGGATGGGCGATGAAAAGCAGGCGTTCTGTCGGGCGAAAACCAATTCCGTGATCTTGCGTTTACGTCTTCGTAACCCCGAAGCGCTTCTATATCACACGAAACTTGATCCGCAGCTGCTGCTTTTGATGCTTTCATTGCTAAGAATGAGTTACATCAACATGGCCTCGAGCAATTTGTTTCACGCGATTGATACAAACATCAATTGAAAGCATCGGTACGACATTTGAGGTACGACAGAAGTGAACAAACTGCAATTATCCAAGCTTTTATTTCTAATTCCCACATGCTCACTCGGTCCGAAAGTCTCGCGCGGCTCTGTGCTCCAGATATGAGGACGACAACTGTATGCACCATAGATCGAAATGGAAGGAGACCCTGTTCGATTGACGACATTGACCGGTCACTACTCTTGTCACGCTTTTTCATGGACGGATGATCAAGACGTGGCTGTTACAAATCGGTATACCGCACAAAGTTGATTGACGGGCTTGGCGTGATTTGCTTGACGTGTTCCTTGTCCACACTCGCCGTCAACAAAAGTGTGTCACAGGAGATCGCCAAGCTCTAGTCCGATAGGCAAGTGGTCACTGCCAACAACGCTTTGTCGGATAAAAGACGATCGCTGCAGACGACAAGATCATGTAAATACTAGTTAGTCGAAAAAACGCACCCACACAAACGGCATTATATCATCAGACGTACTACATTCGGCATCAATGCCTTCGACACGACGAAGTAGTCGAGTCGCCAGCCTTTGTTCTTCGCGCGCATGTTTTGCCGATAGCCAAAGTACGAATACTCCACTTTCTCTGGATGCAAGTGGCGGAAAGTATCGATGAATCCGCAGTCCAGAATCTCAGTGAAACTCTGTCTCTCTTCGTCCGTAAATCCCGCACTTTTGCGGTTCCCCTTTGGGTTGTGGATGTCAATCTCGTGATGCGCGACGTTCAGGTCTCCGCACCAGATCACAGGCTTGGTCTTCTCCATATGCTTCATCTCGCGCAGCATGGCTTTATCCCACTGGCTGGTTCGGTAGCTCAGTCTTTCCAATTTGCCTCCTGCATTCGGGACGTAGGTGTGGACCAGCCAGAACTTGTCGAATTCCAATGCTAAGAATCGTCCTTCTTGGTCCTTTGCGCTGTTCTCAGACTCGTTGCCGATCCCTTTCGACTCGTGACTTCCCACGACAATTTCATCACGCACACTTAGCGGCTTTGTCTTGCACAAAACAGCGGTGCTCGCGTATCCTTTCTTGACTGCACAGGACCAAAACTGGTGCTCGAACTGCGGCAAAAAGTCTTCCAGTTTCTGGAGCTCGTCGCTGCAGATCTTCGTCTCACTGAGACAGATAATGTCCGGATCTTCCTGGGCTGCATAGGCACGTAGATGAACACTGTCGTCTCGCTTAAGGACTGCTCGAAGACCGTTCACGTTCCACGCGACAATTTTGAGCTCAACTGTATCGTCAGATCGTCTCGAGACGTCCTGGAAACGTGGAAACGCGTCAATGCGCTGCTGCAGCTCCGTCGAGACGGGCACTGCAGCCAGTGGCCGCACCCGTTCGGTCTGTTTCGCCTTCAGAGGGGCAAAGAGCGCTCCCCAAGCGCTTTTGTTATCCGCAGTGGCGTCAGATGACGTTTTGGCTTTCTTCGGTGTAGAACGAGACGACTCACTCGCGAGCGTAGCAGACGTTTTCGTGGAAGAGATCTCGTGACTGCGCTTTTTGGTAGTACGGCCCGACGCAGCGACAGCGGCCACGACGTTCTCGGTGACCATCTGGAGTCGAGCGCTCGAGCGCACCATTTTGTCGGACTATTCCGCGACTGAGTTTGGCACGAGAGGACCAATTGCTCCAAAACGGACACAAAGTATACTTTTATGACACTCATCGGATCATTTAAAATACGTTCCCATGTGACGATGTTGGTACAAAAGGCGTTGTGTTTGTTGGCGCTCGCTGCGAACGCAATAAAGCGAAAACGGAATGGAACGGAGTGGATGCGTCAAAAGTATCGCCTCAGACAGCGTACGTACACTCGTCGGAGTCATATCGCCATCAAGTAAGTTCCTTGTGCATACCAAGTGCGTTATTGGACCTGTCGTGAATGCGAGTTGCAAGACGGAGACCGGCAACGCCCCAAACAGGAGAATCTGGTGAAGAGATCTCGATGGGTTGATAGGCTAAAGCACACAGACGCATGACAGCGTTGTTACTACAGTTTGAAACATCAGAGCCGCGTTTGATCCAACTTGATATGCAAACGAGCAAACTCATCGAACGAGCGCACGATGTGTATGGCTCGGCCGGCGCAGACGACGGAGTGTTTAGTCGTTCCATCGAAATTGAATAGCAAGAAAAGAACCAAACCGTTGAACGAAGCGTCGACTGATGTTGTAGCCCATTACGGCTCAACGCAGAAGACAGCAATGTCTTTGCAAAACACCCGACCTTATCGACACACAAACGCATATCAAGTTACGACCTGGTGGATGAGTCAGCTTTCTCACATTCACACCAAACGTGTTGGGTTTGTCTCCGTCTAGCCAGTCACCATTCATTGGGTGTTGGGTTGCGTGCTAGTGCCAAACCTCAAGTTGCAACGCCGGTTGACTCGTTCCCATCGTCTTTACACTTGCGACCTTCTTTGCCGCTCTGATCATCTCGATATGGCTGTTTGGCAATCTTATTGTCGGCGTAGTAGACCGCGGGCGCAAGCGATACTCGTCACATGATACACTCCTGTTGTTGTTGAACGCGGGGCCAACCGCATAAACGCATTCGTGTGATACTCGACTGAAGCCGAGTGACCATTGCTACGTGTGTGCCGTACCGCTGTTGTTCATTGCGGCACTACTCACGCACATCAATGTGGATCCAACATAGTCACTGTACGCGCTGTTTGCTGTGCTGCAGACCAAACGAGCTGGCAACTCGTGGACCGATCGATCGTAGTGACTGTACACACTCACATCCGTACGTGGCAATTCCAGTGTCAGCTGTGGATACGATGACAGCAGCAACTCGGATCGAACACCATCTCCGTCATCCCGCACAGCTCACACTGTGCACTCGCGTGTCACAGCTTTTCATGCAGCCAGTAGTGGTGACCGTTCAATTTGATGTCTCACCTGCGTGTGCACCTGTCATGCTGACGCACGGCTTTTTTTCGCACGCGTGTTCATTTCAGCAGAAAAGACACGACGGCCAGACCCCTAGCCGCCCCGCGTCTCGCCTCCTATTCCACCAATCGCAACGCTTTGGCGGTCCCCAACAGCGCCTGCGCCCGAGCGATGGCGCATCGCTTGACTGGCGGAGGGCGAACCGCCGCGCCATACAGTGCCCAAGGCAAACGCGGTCACCATGGACCCCGCCGACGCGCTGCTGCTCGAACCGAGCGCCGCCCTCGTCGCACCGCCCGACCATCACTCTGAGCCCCTCGACGACGCGCCGCCGGTCGTCGCCAATGCGTCGGCCGTCGCAACGTCTGTCCGCCGGCGCAGCGGCCGCCCCAAAGCCGACTCGGCGCTCGCCCTCCCGAGTTTCATATGGGACTACTTCGTCAAAGACGCGAGCGGCAAATTCGTCCTCTGTACGCTCTGTCCGGCGCAGACGACGCGCTTCGCCTACTCGGGCGGCACGAGCACAATGAACCGCCACCTGCGCAAGAAACACCACAAGTACGCGCCGGGCAAAAGCGCCGCCGACTACGACAGTTACGCGAGGGGCGCGTCGTCGTGTCGTCGTCGCCACGCGCTCCGCCAGCCAATCACCGCGTCGGAAAGCGGCGCACCAGCTGTTTCCCAGTGCGGTACCACCGTCGCGGCAACTTCAACGTCGAGTCTCGTGGTGACGGCGGCAGACGGGACACCTGTGGCACCGGTGGGGACGGGCAGCGACTCGTGTGGTGCACACCACAGCAGCAAACACCGCCAGCAACTGCAACTGCAACAGTATCAGCTCGTTGAGGAGCTCCGCAGTGCGCGTCGACGCGCAGGTAATCACTACAGCCACAACAGCCACAACAGCCACAACAACCACAACAACCACAACAATAGCGGCAGCAGCAGCGGTGGCACAGGCGCCCCGAGCAAGAAACTGGCGAGCGACGTGGGGCCACTGAGTGCGGCGCTCGCGGCCGAGTTCGATCCCACTGCTGCGTCGTTCGGGTCGATCGCTGCGACGGCCGCCGCCAGTGGCGCGTTGCAGTTCCCCGTGGGCTTTGAGCTGCACGATGCGGGAATGGACGCGGCGGGACTCGTGGACCAGCGGTTCGTGGACTATGCGTCGGCGCTCCCGGGAGCAGCTGCAGCCACGACGACAAACGCGGCGACGATGGGATGCGGCGGACAGGGAGGACGCGGTCGTCGTCTTCGTGCGGGAAGCGGCGGAGCGCTTGGCGCGGCTGGAGGGTACGGAAACGCAGGAGCTGCTGCTGCTGCTGCCGCTGCGAGTCTCAAGATGTTGACGCATCGACTGCTGCAGTTTCTCATTGCTCAGTACGAGCCACTGGATGTCTCTCACGTAAGCGCTGAGCTGGGGATGCTGCTCATGGGTGGAGCGACTGAGTGGCCGGGTGTGTCTGGTCTTCATGGCTTTGGATACGGAGGCGCTGGGTCAGGACACGGCGGCAGCAGCAGCTACGGCATGGGCCACGCGGGCGTGAAACTGCCGTCCGAGGAGACGTTGAAACTCGCGCTGGCGAATCTGTACTACTCGCAACGCGAGATCCTGAAAGAAGTTGTCGCCGACGTGGAAGTGCTGAGTTTGTCGCTCAACAACTGGACGTCAGCGTTCGGCCAGAACGTGCTCACTGTCAGTGGTCATTGGATTTCGCATGGATTCCGACGCCGGGACTGTGTGCTGGAAGTGTACGTGCTACCTCTCGATGAACGCGTGAACACCATCGCACTGCTACGAGATGTCATGGAGAAGTGGGACATTCCGCCGTCGAAAGTGGCCGCACTGACGATGCGTCCTCGTACACCTACGGCGAACGGTGCAGGAGGAGACGACTCGGCCACTCTACAGGCCGCCGAAAAGGCACAGACAGAAGAAGAGCATGCCGAAGCGAATGCGATCCACAGTGAGTATCCAGGTCTGGCCGTTGTGCGATGCTTTGTGGAGGAGCTTGAAGGAGCGGTCACGAGTGGACTGCGTGAGTGCGCTGATTTCACCCGTAGGTGCCGCAACTACGTTTCGTATTTCATCCAGAACCCTTCCGAGTACCAGATCTTTCTCGCTCTGCAGCGCAGTATGGGCGAAGAGGCCTCCGCGTCTTCTGCCACTCACACTCATGCAGCGTCCTTTGCTGCAACAGCGGATGGCGTCAGTGTGAGCATCGCCGAGAGTGGCAACGCAACGATCGGCGACCAATTCGACGGGCTCAAAGAAGATCAAACCTCGTACGCGGCCACGGACGGTGCTGCATCCTCCACTCTGAACTGCCGCACTGGTCCATTGACGTCCACGTCAAGCTGCAACACTGGTGAGGCATTGCCAGTGATCTGCGATTTCGACGATCGCTGGAATTCCACGACCGAAATGATGTGTCGCATTGTTCAGCTCGAACCAATGCTGTTGCGGTACAAAATGGGACTCGAAAGCGATACGAATCCGGCTCGAAGACCCATGCAGCTTCGGTTCTTGTGTTGCGAGTTGTCGTCGGAGGAGTGGGCGACACTGAAGCAACTCGCTCGACTGCTGGAGCGCATTGAAGGATTGGTGCACGTTTCTCCGCACGTGTACGCCGGGCTGTCCCTTGCGTATCCGTTATTGCATTCGTTGAAGAAGCATTTGGCGCATGCTGCCACATGGGTGACGGATGCGCTTGTTGCGACGGTCCGCCATACGATTGTCAGCAAGCTCAATATGGATCTCTGCTTGTCCGGCCAGGCTCCATCGTCTGCGTACTTGTCGTGTTTGCTCGATCCTCGCTTCAAGACGTTGCCGTTTCTTTCGACGCCCGAGAAGGAGCAGCTGATCGAGTCGCTGTACCATCTGCTTGGAGTCCGTGCGAAGAACGACGTCACCGATCAGAGTCAAGACCAGCTGGACCCGGCATCGGACGAGGGCCAGACAGACGAGCAGAAAAAGCAGGATGGAAATGGGAGTGCGTCGAGTGTCTGCGTCGCCGGTGCTGCTCTTCCGAACAAGAAGGCGGCAGCTCTTTTGCATGAGTTCTTCCCGTTGGACGAGCCCGCGACCGAGCTCGACAAACTCAAGGCACAAGTGCAGCAGTACTTGGATTCCCCCTCCTTGCCAGCTACCGATGATACTGAACACGACCCTCTCGAGTGGTGGGGTCGTTACCGGCGGTCGTTCCCTTCGCTTGCGCGTCTTGCGAAAAAGTATCTATGCATCAGCGCCGTGTCGACTCCGTTTCAAGAGGCGTTTACGAACTACGGGCAATTGATGCGTGAGAAACGAGCGCGGCTCGATATCGAGGTGGCAGCCCAGATCCTCTTTTGCCGCAGTGTGTTGCGGATTCCAGAGATGGAACGCATTGGAGTGTGAATGGAGAGTGAGGGACATGCGATCGAAGCGTCAGCTGATGCGCACGCTCGTGTCGCGCATATCGTGTCTGTTTTGGACACGAAGCGACATCAACGATGTCAACGAGACGGCGTCGATTGTTGGCATGTCGGTGGAGGGAATCACATGTGAACGTTGTTGGGCCACGCAGGACTTGTCTCGTTGTCTATGAAGGTACTTTGTGCTCGACACGCTTTGTATCGTCGTGTTCTGGATCGTCCGTCATGGAGAAGTATCATTTCAAGTGGTCAAGATGTCAGCGTTGTATGTGGTAGCAGTTGGACTGGCGTGGCAGCAAACTAAGGACTAGACAATGCGAAAGCATTTGCAAGACATCGTGGCTCATGAGTAGTGGACGGAAGTAAAGGAACTGTCTTGCTGGGCATCGATTGATCGCAATTCGCAGGTATCCTAGTGACAGAGTTTGCGATCGAGGTGTGAAGTGTGATCACGTGTATAAACGGCTCGCAACGTCACCTGATGTAAAGCTTGGGCTCCTGTCCTATTGCTTTGTCAAAATAATGTGTGACTGAATAGTAAGACGAGTGTGCACCCCATCTTTGACTTTACCCGTGCGTCACTGTATGTCGGTCATTGTGCTTATGTTCACGAGCTTTGTGTGAAAGATAATGTTCGTGGCGTGACAGAAGAGGTAGAACATGTTCGCTGACGTGTTTTTTATTACGCCAGCTGATACGATAACCAGGTGTTAACTTTAAACTTGATCACACCTAAATCCACTCCTAGTTTTCGCAGGACATCGAATAATGAGCTTCCCAAGTTTTACATTACCTAGATCTTAAGAACTAAATTGCTGAGCAACGGTCTTCACAAAATTGCAATAGAGTCCTGCAATCGCTTAAATCGGATTCCCAACTGGTCATGAACGCACTGTTGGAATTGTTGTGACGCGTTAAGCCCCTTAATAAGTTACGTTCAGTGCGCGTACGTACTTTGCATCCCTGACGCAGTATTGCATTGACCGGCAACAATCAGCTTGAAACTTGCTGCTTCTTGGGCACTGTGATAGGAAAGAGACAGAGACAAATAACCTGAAGTGCTCACCCGATCCAAGCAGGAGCAAATTTGCCCAACGGCACGTGTACGATAGATGACGCGGGTCCAGTTAGCTTCACGCAAACACAATTATTTCCACGCTTCTTCAAGCGGACTTTACCCTATGAACGCACGCCACCAGCACGTCTCTGGTAGATTCACAACTTCGTGGTACAGTAGTGTTGCACCGCTACTATCAGAATTGTCTGTCTGTCTGTCAGTTACCCGTCGCAGCAAAGACAGCCGGACACTCGCATTTTCGCGGCTTTTTCCCCGACGAGCGAACAACGCAGCAACTTTATCAACTGCGACCAGTACGCGCTGCCTGTCGATCGGTGCTGTCCCATGGCTGTTACGATCCGACTGTCGCATCGGCCGTGACTAGCACCACATGATTCGGAAGACGGTGAGACAGCGTTACGCAGTCAATTGTCTCGGCCATCCTGTTTCGCCCGCCTGGCGTCACTGGGTGCAGAGCTGCCTCTTTTTCTCAGTGAGCCCGTGCGTCGCTCATATAGATCACTCTCATCCACCTTGTCATACCGAACAATGATTTCGCTAAGACCCAATCGGTCGGGCGAGCGACTGTCTGCGCTAATGTGCACCGAGACGTCTTGACGGCGCCTGTCTTCGCACCTGTGTCGGATCGCAACGCGTTGCCCGCCTGTCAGTTGTTCCGACCACGTCAGCTCATTTGCACCCTCCGTGAACTCTCCTGTCCACCTCTGTCTCTGTCTCTCTCTGCCTCTCTCTCTCCCTATCGCTATATCGCTCTATCGCTCTCTGCGAGAAACTCTCTGCAGCGCAACAAGAGCTCTTTGCACTCGGCAGCGATGGGCGACCGTGGCTTCGACTGTACGCCCGTATGTATCTGCCGCGCGTGCGCGTAGAGCAAATGTTCCGATAGAATGCGACCCGTTCGCCGAACGTCTGTTGACTCGATTGGCAGTAGTTGTGGCATTGGATTCATAGTTATCTAACATGCAGCGAGAGGATGGGGCAGTAGTGGTACACGAGAGGGAGCGACGTCGCACGCGGTAGTGGGGGGGGACATAGAGGGAACGCAGCGGCTGTTGTCGTCGCTACTCGAAGGCGGCCATGCAGTCCCGCGGCAGCCGTGCAAAGACGCGACCGGCTTCTGTGAGCGCAATAGCAGAGCCCTTGCAACAGCTGCCACTGCTCTGCGTAGTCGTTCGGACCGTGACGGCGGTCTCATCTTCGGAAGCGGTCGTTGAACTAGAGACTGACGGGGAGCGACTGCGGCCCGAAGGCGAGCGACCGGCTTTGGCTTGCTCCAGCGCCCGCTCCTGGCGGATGCGCTGGGCGTCTTCGCGCGAGACGGCCGACCAGTTGATGGCGTGTTTCTTGGACTTCATGAGGCGGTAGGGCCAAACGATGCCGAGGCGTCGGCAGTTGCGCTTGATGGTGACTGTGGCAACGCCGAGCTGCTGGGCGGCTTCGCGTTGCGACATGTGAAAGTACTGCGCCATCTCTTCCGTGGTGAAGTCAAAGACGACGCGGCTCTTGCGGATCTTCTTGTTGGGACTGGCGCCGGGCGGGGCGTGCGTCTTGGCCGGCGCCATCGTCGGCGAGGCCAACTGCAGCGGCGACAGCGCGGGCGACGCGAGGAACGTGTTGACGGTCGGCAGCTGGCGGAACGACGTCGCGCGACCGCAGTGCAGCGGATGTGCGACGCTGAACGTGCTGCAGGCTGAGAGGGGCATACTGCTCATCATTGCGAGGCGGTGTGTAGATGGAGAGACGTGGGGAGACGTGGCGGACGGAAGAAGGATGGACGGACGGACGGACAGTCAGGTAGATAGTCAGACAGTCAGACGGCGTTCGCGGCGTTGCGTTCGTAGTAGACGGCAAGTCGGCGAATGACTTGTTCCGACCGACACACGTGTATCGGCTTTTGCTGTCGCGGGCCACGAGCGGCCAAAGGTCAGAGCGCGTTCCGGACGCGCGACGCCCGCAGGAGGGCGTACTGCAGCAACGCGCGCGCGACTGACGCCAAGCGGTCTATTGGATACTTTTCCCTCGCCATCGCCTGTCGCGTGGCCGCGTCTTAGTCTGCAGACGCGACGCCCGCGGGCCTTGGCCGCTCGGGTGGGCTGTACCGCCTCTGAACACCGCCACTGGCGATAAATGAGCCCTGTCACGCGGGACTTGACCCCTTGACGGCAGAGCGCCGTCCACCGTCAAAGATCGCTGACGTTTCGTCCCGCCTCTGGCCGCGCCCGCTGCGACGCGCGACGGCCCGAGCAGCCATCAGGAGCACTGGGCGAGCGTACGGCCCTCGCGACTGCAAGACAGACACGCCGAAAACGGAACTGGCCACACGGTCGGTTTGTAACTGCTGCTGCTGCTGCCGTAACAGCGCGACCGGTCCGCACTCGCTGTCGTCGCCGCCCTTGTGATGCAGGCAGGCAGGCAGGACAGAGCGTGTGCGTGCAGAAAAAAACCCATCGCTGCCACTGGCGGGAGACGCCGGGCCATGTGGTGTGTCGGCTCGCGCTTGGCAAGCGACTCGACTTTTCGCCTTCCGCTCGCTAGTCGACTAGAAAGCACGCAACCAGAAAGAATGGCAACCAGAAAGAATGGCAACCAGAAAGAATGGCAACCAGAAAGAATGGCAACCAGAACAGTCTTGAAGAGACTCTCGCCTTGTGTGCTATGCCGCAACATCTAGTTGCGTACGGCAGACTCCCACGGCACTTACTGGACGCCGCAACCCACGGCACCTGCCTCCTTCAGCGACACGTACCGTTAAAGTATAGACGTTTCGGCCGTCGCACCGTGACGTGTGTGGATCGTAGATCTTTGCAGGAAACTTTCGCTATAACGTTAGCGCCTCTTCCGACTGCAACGTTCTACTTGGCGGGCGCGATGTGCGAGAATCTGGTTTAGCAAAGTTTCAGTGACACCGAGCGCTTGTGAAGTGCAGGCCTCCTTCTTCCTTACATGGCGGAGCGAATCGCGGGGACCCCACCGCGGTGTCTACGTGTCTCGATCGTGGAAGACGGTTTTGCACACAAGCTAGCTGAAGTGGTCAGCTGCAAATATTCGCTTCCCGCTCCACCGCAGGCTCTCACACTCCTCAACTCGTGTCTGCTGAGCACGCGATTGAGTCAGAAATGATTTCGCGCTGCCGATAACGATTCCGGCGGGTGTTCTTCGCAGCGTGCAACCGGATCGTTCGTGTATTGTTTGTGCTCGTAGAGACGTATTTGCTTCATGTCAGACAGCTGCATTGCATGTGAAGCGGTCTTCCAACGCAAGTTGTAGGCCACGTTTTTCAAGCGCAAGATGTTTCGATTTGAGTGAATACTGTAAGAAACTTGCTGCCCAGGTTATCGTTTGTTTGGGGAGCAGTCCATGCAGCAACACATCAGTGACCAGCAACATGACTTCGACGTGTGCATACGTAACTACATGGTGCAAACGATCACCGGCAAACAGTTACGATTCCGTGTCTAACGAAGGTGAAGCGTAGACTGTAAATGTTAGTTTAGTCATGATAAAATAGCTTATGTATAGGTTCGTGGCTCTCGAACCCCCACATACTAATTAATTGTGTAAAGGCAGCTCGTCACATTAGAGCATCGCCCATAATTAAGATGAGGGACAATTTGAACATACACCTGACAAATGGTCGTAGCAGAGATGCTTAAGTTTCAAGCTTTGCATCTAAGATGTGTGCGCGCATGGGCTGTGATGGCGAGCTAATCACGTCAATCAAACAAGCTTGCGCTTTACGTAAAGCTACTTGTAAAACTCATTGTAAGAACACGTACCGGTCCTTATAGAATGTCACGGATAATTTCCAATCTTATCTCGCAGGACAAGAACAATAATGCCATTCGCAGATTTGGTAAACATCGGAGCACGGCTCAATAAGACTTAGGTGTTTTCAGTCTTTGCCTTCTTCATAGGTCGGTTGAGTCTCTTTGTCTAACACTCGCCAATCCAATCACGTTTTAGACTACTACGCACTGGGGCACGGATGATATCGACTGGCACAGATAAGCGGACAATGTCGCACGGCTCCAGTCGGATTTACATGAATGAGCTTGGTGCCTTGAGCCTCTAGTATCGAACAACGTTGGCTCATGTATATAATATACAAATCTAACTTCGCCCATATATTAGTGAAAAGTTATGAAATGCTGTAGATGTAGGTCACCATACGAGAACCGCAAGCTATCAGCACGGCTTTTGAGTATCTAACAATCTGTGAAGCGCTTCATGTATAGTATGTATAAAGTGTGATGCGATGACCACGCGCTGCTCCATTCGAAGACTCTGATTGGTTGAAGGCGTTAAAAGGTGACAAGAGAGAACTCAAATGCTCTACAAGGCTGACACGGAAATGGTATGTCTACCGAATGACGTCACTTTCTCGAACCATCTACCTGAAATCCATTTAACAGTGAGGTTATTATTAGATAAAATGAAGGACAGAGAAGCAGGCATTCTTTCGAAGAACGTATCAACTTGACTTGCGCCTCCATATTGCCTGGACGCGATATCGACATACAACATGTGCTACTGCCCATTCGTTTGCTATTTTGCCTACGGTGGCGAAAATGTCAGTGTGCTAAACGCCACCATACATAGGAATGTCCCCCTGTTTGTGCAAGCGTCCTCTTGCACATGCACCGTGAAAAATTAATGCATATCTTCTCAGTGCATGCACTAGAATCTGATGCCGCGACGATCGCCAGAAGTTGCTGACAATAGGTTAGGAACAACGCAAACAATCGACGATATATGTGCATATCTTCGGGACATTTTCAGAACTATAAAGTATTGACACCTTTCATGCCACAAATTATACTTGATCTATGTCGTCAACACTGTCGAATACGAATTTAAATGAAACACGCTGTAAATCAGCGATGCAATGCAGTCAGACATCCGAACATGGAGGACAGATAATGATCAACGAGCGTTTGCAACGACTGCAAAGTAGACAATTAGTCTAGATGCAGCATCGCGCTGCCGCCCTTGAGGACACATATGTGCGATGCGATACGGATACGGACATGGTGGTCAATTTGCAGCACGTATTCTGTAGACTCGATGGATTTGTGGAAGACATGCAACTTCGTAGATGTGATTGTTGCTGCACCGCACTCTCTCAAATTTTAAAGTCTCAGCAGTCAGCAACACGAACGCATTCGCCGCGCTGATTCAAGTCGTTGAATCAAGCTTATTGTTATGACTTCGTGACGGCGTAACAGTACAGCCTGACACACTACAGTTTATCTCAAGGTGTCGTGTCTGGGCTCAGCAGCCCCGAGCGTGCTGAACTGCAGTCCAGCGGGAAAATCATCTGTACCAACTAAAACCAAGATGCCACGAAGTACTTGTAAGAGGTCGCGACGACAGTTCAGGGGCTACCGTTACATATGCAAAGCCACAGTATATCCAGTTTAACAACATACGAAGATTCTCTTCACAAAAATAATAGTTACTAACTCCTGTTTGACAAAATAAAGGACACGACGCCCCGCATCTTGTAATCCCACAGCCTCCCATACCCTCTTTATCGCCAGTTGTCTTCAATTATAAGTTGCTGTTTGCTAACAGTATTCACTCAAATCGAAACATCTTGCGCTTGAAAAACGTGCCTACAACTTGCGTTGGAAGACCGCTTCACATGCAATGCAGCTGTCTGACATGAAGCAAATACGTCTCTACGAGCACAAACAATACACGAACGATCCGGTCGCACGCTGCGAAGAACACCCGCCGGAATCGTTATCGGCAGCGCGAAATCATTTCTGACTCAATCGCGTGCTCAGCAGACACGAGTTGAGGAGTGTGAGAGCCTGCGGTGGAGCGGGAAGCGAATATTTGCAGCTGACCACTTCAGCTAGCTTGTGTGCAAAACCGTCTTCCACGATCGAGACACGTAGACACCGCGGTGGGGTCCCCGCGATTCGCTCCGCCATGTAAGGAAGAAGGAGGCCTGCACTTCACAAGCGCTCGGTGTCACTGAAACTTTGCTAAACCAGATTCTCGCACATCGCGCCCGCCAAGTAGAACGTTGCAGTCGGAAGAGGCGCTAACGTTATAGCGAAAGTTTCCTGCAAAGATCTACGATCCACACACGTCACGGTGCGACGGCCGAAACGTCTATACTTTAACGGTACGTGTCGCTGAAGGAGGCAGGTGCCGTGGGTTGCGGCGTCCAGCAAGTGCCGTGGGAGTCTGCCGTACGCAACTAGATGTTGCGGCATAGCACACAAGGCGAGAGTCTCTTCAAGACTGTTCTGGTTGCCATTCTTTCTGGTTGCCATTCTTTCTGGTTGCCATTCTTTCTGGTTGCCATTCTTTCTGGTTGCCATTCTTTCTGGTTGCGTGCTTTCTAGTCGACTAGCGAGCGGAAGGCGAAAAGTCGAGTCGCTTGCCAAGCGCGAGCCGACACACCACATGGCCCGGCGTCTCCCGCCAGTGGCAGCGATGGGTTTTTTTCTGCACGCACACGCTCTGTCCTGCCTGCCTGCCTGCATCACAAGGGCGGCGACGACAGCGAGTGCGGACCGGTCGCGCTGTTACGGCAGCAGCAGCAGCAGTTACAAACCGACCGTGTGGCCAGTTCCGTTTTCGGCGTGTCTGTCTTGCAGTCGCGAGGGCCGTACGCTCGCCCAGTGCTCCTGATGGCTGCTCGGGCCGTCGCGCGTCGCAGCGGGCGCGGCCAGAGGCGGGACGAAACGTCAGCGATCTTTGACGGTGGACGGCGCTCTGCCGTCAAGGGGTCAAGTCCCGCGTGACAGGGCTCATTTATCGCCAGTGGCGGTGTTCAGAGGCGGTACAGCCCACCCGAGCGGCCAAGGCCCGCGGGCGTCGCGTCTGCAGACTAAGACGCGGCCACGCGACAGGCGATGGCGAGGGAAAAGTATCCAATAGACCGCTTGGCGTCAGTCGCGCGCGCGTTGCTGCAGTACGCCCTCCTGCGGGCGTCGCGCGTCCGGAACGCGCTCTGACCTTTGGCCGCTCGTGGCCCGCGACAGCAAAAGCCGATACACGTGTGTCGGTCGGAACAAGTCATTCGCCGACTTGCCGTCTACTACGAACGCAACGCCGCGAACGCCGTCTGACTGTCTGACTATCTACCTGACTGTCCGTCCGTCCGTCCATCCTTCTTCCGTCCGCCACGTCTCCCCACGTCTCTCCATCTACACACCGCCTCGCAATGATGAGCAGTATGCCCCTCTCAGCCTGCAGCACGTTCAGCGTCGCACATCCGCTGCACTGCGGTCGCGCGACGTCGTTCCGCCAGCTGCCGACCGTCAACACGTTCCTCGCGTCGCCCGCGCTGTCGCCGCTGCAGTTGGCCTCGCCGACGATGGCGCCGGCCAAGACGCACGCCCCGCCCGGCGCCAGTCCCAACAAGAAGATCCGCAAGAGCCGCGTCGTCTTTGACTTCACCACGGAAGAGATGGCGCAGTACTTTCACATGTCGCAACGCGAAGCCGCCCAGCAGCTCGGCGTTGCCACAGTCACCATCAAGCGCAACTGCCGACGCCTCGGCATCGTCTGGCCCTACCGCCTCATGAAGTCCAAGAAACACGCCATCAACTGGTCGGCCGTCTCGCGCGAAGACGCCCAGCGCATCCGCCAGGAGCGGGCGCTGGAGCAAGCCAAAGCCGGTCGCTCGCCTTCGGGCCGCAGTCGCTCCCCGTCAGTCTCTAGTTCAACGACCGCTTCCGAAGATGAGACCGCCGTCACGGTCCGAACGACTACGCAGAGCAGTGGCAGCTGTTGCAAGGGCTCTGCTATTGCGCTCACAGAAGCCGGTCGCGTCTTTGCACGGCTGCCGCGGGACTGCATGGCCGCCTTCGAGTAGCGACGACAACAGCCGCTGCGTTCCCTCTATGTCCCCCCCCACTACCGCGTGCGACGTCGCTCCCTCTCGTGTACCACTACTGCCCCATCCTCTCGCTGCATGTTAGATAACTATGAATCCAATGCCACAACTACTGCCAATCGAGTCAACAGACGTTCGGCGAACGGGTCGCATTCTATCGGAACATTTGCTCTACGCGCACGCGCGACAGATACATACGGGCGTACAGTCGAAGCCACGGTCGCCCATCGCTGCCGAGTGCAAAGAGCTCTTGTTGCGCTGCAGAGAGTTTCTCGCAGAGAGTTTCTCGCAGACAGCGATATAGCGATAGGGAGAGAGAGAGAGGCAGAGAGAGACAGAGACAGAGGTGGACAAGAGAGTTCACGGAGGGTGCAAATGAGCTGACGTGGTCGGAACAACTGACAGGCGGGCAACGCGTTGCGATCCGACACAGGTGCGAAGACAGGCGCCGTCAAGACGTCTCGGTGCACATTAGCGCAGACAGTCTCTCGCCTGACCGACTGAGCCAGAGAAGAAATGACTGTCTTTTTTAGATTAAAAGTAGATCTAGATCTGAAGCGTTTTATACAAATAAATGAACGTGTCGAAAAGATTGGTTGTTACCTAGTAGAAAGCTTTATCAACGCAGAACAATGTATCGGCATATGTTGTCAATGGTTATTGTCCTTAGATATAATGACCACCAACACAGCCATTCAGTACTCTTATACTGTTCGTGGTGAGGGTTCGTAAAAGGCTAAATTAAGGTTCAATATATATAGATGCTTCTGAGTCTGTCACACGGGTACTTAGTGGCGATCATCTGTTGATCGGATGTACTCCCGACAAATTAGAAATGCCATACGAAGAGATATCTCTAAAAGTCCTAGGTTTGCGGTACTCAAGCAAACGTTTAGTTTCGATTTCTTTGTACATTCATGACAACAGGTCATGTAAAATTGATAATCAGTCTATGTTTCGCGTATAGAGAAGCCACTTTGATGTTATGTATGAACTAGTCAAATTTATCGACATGTAGATGTGCATACTGTGTCTTCAGTCTAAGTCGGATAACCTGCCACTCTGTCTTCCTTACATCGGTATTTTCTCACTATCTCTTGTAGTCGATGTCCCACGAGCTGCTTAATGAAGTGGTAATAACATTGACGGGCAAAGCAAAAATCATTAACTTGTACATAAATTCATGTTAAACGCGGTTTTGGAACACACCGGGTCTCGTCACCACATTTCCAATCTACCTTATAAATGATATTATAAACTTTCTCCACATGAAGTGGACCTAGTATGGTAGTTCAAAAGGAAGTCTTTGCCTCAAATAGCCACTTAGCTCAAAGACAAGAAGCCGAGTCATATATTCCATTAACTACGAAAAAATAATTTTGCTGCAGCTTATATCGATCAACGACTCGGAGAGTTTGCTATTTTAAAACATATGTTTCATACTAAGCCTTAATAAGCTCACAGGTTAACATACACTACAAAGAGCGGCACAAGGTCATTACAAATTTGTCGAGACCAAGCACATCGTTTTTTAAGAATATAAAGAGGAAATGTTGATTTAATTCATAAAACGATGGTAAAGCCCATAAATGTACTCAAATTTTTGGAATTACTCCGGCGAGGAGTAAAACGTAATAACATGTATAGGAGTGGATGACAAGAGTCCTCTTTCAGTCCATTACTTGCACTAATAAGAGATACAATTATTACACCACGAGTACCAAACATCCGAATTGTGGCTGCAACATTAATGTGGACATAGTTACTTTCATGCCCTATATTATTTGTGTTTATAATATGAACCGACAAGTCCCTTTTTTCTAATATAGGTTTTACATTATTGAACCTCTAAGTTGCGTTTACATCACAAGATAAATGATACCACCTGTCTATGAGTCACAGACGATTCGAGGTGTTACAAAATTCAAAGTATCAATCTTTGAGAGCGATATTAGAGTTTGAGTGATACATATCATCCTTTAAATCATATGAATAAAGTATTGACCGCATTTAAGTGCCAAACTCATTACTGAATAAAGGTGCTGCTAATAAGATTGCAGGGCTGGGTATATACTAAGAGGTTCGAAGTGCGAAAATATCAAGAGTCGTTATCATGTAAGATGCTCTCCAACGGTTTATGATCATTTCATATTGTAGGATATACCATTGCTGAGTATGTTAGCCTCCTAGCATTCGTGATAGGCTTTATGAGTCGCAGGACAATTATTGATAGAATAGGTTGTCACACGTAAGTGAACTGCTCCTAGGAAGCTAGCGGCACACTAAGATCTACTTGAGCGCTTCTAAAATCACACATCGTGCCGATAAAATTAATGCTCAGCGATGTAAAATGACTGGGTACGTGTTGCATAACAATATCTAATGATGACCGTTCCTATCATCACATACCCGTGGAACTAAACAATATATATTGTTGCTCTTCGCCTGATAGGTGCAGTTCCAAAGTCGAAACCACATAATTGCGGCTATTACAAGTTAGAGGCATATGAGCTGATATTCTTTATCGCAAAATCTGCTCTACGACTTTGTCAATCTAAAGGCGAAAAGCAAACTGCGTTCAGTAATCTATACTATACTATGAATCCACCAAATGTTTCATTGTACATAATGCTTCGACAGCGACAGCCACAGAACCTCTTATGGCATACAATTCTACCTAATAAAACCTCAGCACTATATGCGAAGTATTTTTCGTCACAAATGTACCCTGCAAGCGGCTTCTAGATGCGTCAAAATTGGAAAAGGATCATTTTATCCCCAGCTAATCCTCAATCATTATGAGTTCTCAGGCTTTGGGTACTTACGTTGCTTCACGAATTCATGATATTGGCCATTGTATTGACGCCAATTTTGGCGTTATTACAGATTGAGATGGCAAAAAAATTCTATAGATTAGTACAGGCGAAGCCAATACTTCGGTGGCGTTCCACATCGATATTCATCGGATAATTGTTGATACCATTTCTCAATTAACATCGTGACCGGTTCGATATTGCAGAAAAGTGTCGGAGAATATCTTGTTGACAAAAAAATCGAAAAGCGGCTTCGATATACATTTTATGTCAGTTAAGTCCGTCAAAGTCTGTGTGGGAGATACTTTAATATCAGCGAACAAAGAGCACCAAGAACGTGCGGTTATGCGACGTTTACAGTAGGCTAAACCCAACATCAATATTTTGCATCTGTATTTCCGTGGAAATTGACAAAATAGAGATTGGCGCAGACGTTTAAGCATTATCATATACATATATACATGTAATAACTCGTTTTGCACACCAGCCCAATCCGCATCCATAATGCATAGAGTCTAAGCCATTGATGACACTGGATAACCAAGCCAATAAATCTCACGGCCGAGAAGATCACTCAATGCAGATAAATTGGCTTCAACAGTTCATCCGGACTGATAATCACGACGAAGAAATTGCTGAGCGGAAATATTAATAAATAAATTATCGATATTGTTATGTTCATAAATCTATTACATCACGATATCTGTGGAACAGGGAATCTCAGCGACAGGCATTCCTGATGCGATGATGATTCCGCTGGACCAGCAAGTCATAATACTTCTTGTAGCTATATTGGTGTCTGAAAAAGAAAAGAACGTGCTAAAATAGTGCGATACCATACGCTCAGTTCTCATTTAAGCAGCGTAGACACTGGAAGTTTGTAAATATACCGCGCAGGCGTATATGCGATTCGGGCGTTTGTATAACACCATTAATTTATTGTGATCAATGCTTTATCTCGTCAAACTTTACATAAAGTTTTGGATCTTCACAATATCCTCCGTTCTTTGTAGACGATTGTCACTAGACTTGTATGGGAGGCCAGATTCAAATTAATCGTATGCAGGCAAAACGTTGTCGAACTTGACTTGGAAGAGTGTGATCAGAAAACAGGTTGAGACTTTGTGAGGTTCTCTCGATCCCTGTTCAAGAACAGGTAATGCTTTGATAGTTTCAATTTCTTATAGAAAGCGCAATCATCGTGCGGTTATAAGATTTCTCGAAACTAAGTCACGTGATCGATGGTCGTACATTATAACACATCATATTCTTCCCGCTCAAGTTTTGTCCCTACACTACTTATTCTTCAGTCAAATTTTTAGTATAAACGCATTAACGTTTCGCTAGTGGGTGAATTAAACACTATAGCTTTCCTTTCGTAATCGATAGTACATTTGTATAATCGATCGAAATCAATTTTACAAGTGAGCTTAAATTGTTGGTCATGCTTCACTCGGCTCTTCTATCTTGTATTATTTCGGCATACTTTTACAAAATCGAAGGTCGACATTTTAGTAATGCGACTTTAACAAAGCCCAAATTGATTATATGGCAAAAAAAAGCGCCCCATTCAATCACGAAAATAAAAAATGCCCCAGATAATTGAAAAATATAAAATGCCCATGTCTTAAAATACTTAACACAGCACATCTATATTAGTTCTGTTTCTGGTTGTGGTGATTCTCAGCGCAATTTTTATGAGCACGATGCAACCTACTCAACCCCTCACAGTAGGTGCTGGTAATTCAGAGTGCAAGTTGCTTGGATTTTGATCGGTATAATTCAATGTATTATGAGTTATAAACGCAGCTCGGTCGGAGCAGCACCATACTCGTCTTATTCTAGCTACACCCACGCACACACGTACACTGTCATTCATTGAGTACCAGCACGCGTGTGGTGCGGGAGTTCGTGCACGCGCCTTATCGGCTGGAACGACCGAATCTTGCAGCTGCAACAGCACCAGCAATATCGACAATAGCAACAACAATAGCAACCACAGCATCTACAACAACAACAACAGCAGTAACAGCAGTAACATCAACATCAATAAGAACAACAACATCAACCGCAGCGCCTACAACAACAGAAGTAGCAACAGCAGTAGCATCATCAACAGAGCAACAACAACAGCAACGACACACCCTATAACAACACAAGCAGCAG